CTTCCCGCCTTCCCCCCGCCCCCGTCGGGGCGCGCTCCCCGACGGCTCAGCACCACGGACAGCGCCCGCCCCCCCGGCGCTGCGGCGGGGCCGGGGACGGTGCGGGCCGGGGCCGGGGCCGGTGCTGGCGGTGGGTCATGCTTCAGTAGCCATGACTGTAGACTGTTACTGTCCTGTCCCTACGCAGCAGTAAGCAGTCTAGAGCCAAGGTGCCGACGCTCTGACTCGGGCTCTCCTCGACGGGGTCTCCGCGCTCTTTAGACGCAGAGGGGTGAAGGCGATCGACCCCCCCCCTCCCCGGGCTGCGGAGCCGGCAGCACCCGGGCTGGGGACACGGGGCTGCGGGGGAACCCGAGGGAGGTGGCGGTGGCGAGTGCCTGGCACGGCGGCCCCGCGGGACGGGGCTGGGGGGTCCCGTCGGGGGTGGCTGCGGGGAGGCTCGGAGAAGGGGGGACAGCGGCCGCCGGTGTCACCGCGGAGCGGGACACACACGCACGGCCCCACCCCCGTGCCCTCCGCTCCGCCTCACCCCCGCCCCGGCGAGGCAGGTGCAGCGCCCGGTGCCGCGGGGCTCCGCTGCCCCCTCCCGCCCCCGCACCGGGCTCCGTCCCCGCTTACCTGCGGGCCAACCCAGCCGGTTCCTTACCTCCTGCGGGCCCCGCGGCTGCCGGGCCGGGCAGGGGCCCCGCGGCTCCCGGCGGGGCCGGCGCCGGTGTCGGTGCTGCGCTGTCCGCAGCGCGCGGGGCTTTTATAGGATCGGGCTCGTAGTAACGGGGATCTCGGCTCATTCATAGAAAAGCATCAACCTACACAATGACGTGAGCGCTACGTCAGCGAGGAAATTTAGGGAACGGGAAGACGCTACTATTTATATCGGCGCGGGGGGAGGACAGCGGGCCGGAGCCGGGCAGGGGGTCCGGGCTGCAACAGACCCCGGCCCTCTCCCCGACCCCTCCGGAGCCCCCCCGTTCCCTGGCTGCTCGAGGAGCGCAGTGGAGCAGCACCCAGCACCCCACATCCCTTCTCCACCTGCTGCCAGACCCAGGGGCCGTGCACCCACTGGGACACAAACCGAGGGTCCTGTCCCCCTGGGAGTGCGGCGTGGGGCACCCCTGCCCCAGACAAGAGGGCTCCATCCAGGCACCCCCATCGCCCCTGGGCACTCTGCTGGGCCAGAACATGGCCCCTTCCTGGCCTCATGACATCACCAGGGAGCTGCTGATCTGGGGCTGTCTGAGCCCCCCGTTATGGCAAGGGTCGCACAGGGGTCCCCAGAGCCGGGCACCAGCCTGGGAGTGCCCCCTGCCCACCTGCATCCCTCACCCACAGCAATGTCCTCAGCAGCCCCCGTGCCCCCTCATAAGACCCCCTGTCCTTGCAGTGTCACGAGCACCCACGGGTGCCACCCCAAAGCGCTGCAGGACAATGGGACGGCACAAGCAGTGCTGGGGGGTGAGTTTAGAATACATGGGGTGAGCAACCCACTGCAGCACCGTGCTGTCCTGACCCCTGCAGCCTCACAATGGGGCCTGGCCCTCGCTCCCACCAGGGTTGTGTCCCCCAAAAATCATCAGTGCTACTGAAAAGGTTATGGATTTATGGGTGAGTTAATTTTGGCCCCTTGCTCCTTCGCAAGTGCCAGCACCCCACAAGATGGGCCTAGAGTCATATCCAGGGGGATTTGGGAGCATCCTTTCCCCCTTTCTGCACCTGTGCGTCCATCCATCCATCCATCCATCCATCCATCCATGCATCCCCCCATTCCTGCTGGAGCCGTCTGACCTCACTCTGCTCTGGCGAAGCATCACACCGGTAACCACAGCAACAGCGGCGTTGTCATTGACAGCAGCATCCGCGCCCGCCAGCATCCGCCGCTGCGCAAGGCCGCGCTGCTGCAAGGCCACACGCTGCTACGGGGGCCTCAAGCCACGACCCCCCCACTCCCTTACCCCTCACACCCCCAAATACCGGCGGAGCGGCTCAGAGAATTAACCCCTCCCAACCCCACCGGCACCTCTCCATCCTCCGCCGACCGAGGAGCTGCCACCCCCCTAGAACTCCCCAAAACGCCTTACCCACCCCCTGCTAGATGGGGGTGTCCCCCTCCTGTCCCCCCCCTTTTTTTTTCCCCCCCACGCAGCACCGGCGCTCGCCCCGTCGGGGCTCTCCGGTTCGGGAAGGGGAGGTGGGGAATCGCTGCCGCAGCGCTCCCCGCCGCAACCGTGACTCAGCCCGGGATTAGTCAGCAACTGGGGCCGGCCCACCCGCAACCGGCTGCGCAGCTCCGCCGCTCCTCCGGGGGCCGCGACCCCCCCCCCCCCGCCGTCCCCCCCCCCCCCCCACTCCACGTCCCGGTCCCACGACGCCCACAAGGTGACGGGACGTGGAGTGGGGGGTCGCGGCCCCCGAGGAGGGGGTGTCGCATCCCGGAGCGCGGCCCGTTGCTGCCATCTCGTGGGCTTCCCACCGGTGACACAGCCGTGTCCCTGCCGTGGGAGGGGGTGAGAGGAGCCGCTGATGTGGGTGGGGAGGGGGAGGTCACCTGTAGGACGTGGAAAGGGGGTGATGGATGAGTGGGTTGAAAGAGGAAGGGAGAGAAGAAAGGAGGTCTCGTTGTGCCATCGTGACTCCACAGGGGTGGGGTCTTCACCTGCGTGGACGTCACCCCGCAAGGAGGGGATCCTATTGCCCCACCATGGATCACTTCAAAGGAAAGGGGTCTCATCGCCTCAAGCCCCAAAATATCACCCTGCTGGAAGTGTTCCTCAGCCGATCTGAGCATTGTGCCACAAGGAAGGGGTCCCACTGCCCCATGAAGCATCACCTGTAAGGGAAAGGTCCCAATGTTTCATCAAGCATCATCCCACAGGGATGAGATCATCAGCTGCCTGCAGAGAAGGGGTTCCATCACCTCATCAAGTGTCATCCCACAGGGAAGGGGTGCCACTGCCCCAGGAAACAGCCCCTGGCAGGGATGGGTGCCCTTGTTTGACTGAAAATTATCCCTAAGAAGCATCATCCGTAAGGAAAGGGGTCCCTTTCTCACCAAACCCTGACCCACAGGGACAGGATCCTCATCTGCCTGCAGAGGATGGGTCCTGTCACCCCATCAGGCACCATCCCACAAAGAAGGGGTCCCATTGCTCCACAAAGCATCACCTCACAGGGATGGGTGTCCTTGTCTTCCCAAACACCCCCCCATAAGGAAGGGATCCCACTGTCCCCAGTTCAACAACGGGAATTGCAAAGCCCTGCTCGTGGGGAGGAAGATCCCTGAGCTCTGGGATATCCCAGGGACTGTCCAGCTGACAGCAGTTCAGTGGAAAGGACCTTGGGGGACAGGAAGTTGACCATGTGTCCTTGGGATGAAGCAGGTGAATGGTGTCCTGGTCTGTGTTGGTTGACAGCAGTGAGAGGATCCTTCCCTCTGCTCAGTCTTGGAATGCTGAGTCCAGGGCTGGGCTCCCAGCAGGGAAATACTCCAGAGAGTCCGGGGAAGGAGCACTAAGAAGAGTAAAAGGCTGGATGGAGCATCTCCCTGATGAGGAGAGAGCTGGGACTGGCTGGAGAAGAGAAGGCTCCAGGGACCTGTCAGTGCACACCTCCCTGCAGGGAGGGTGTGGAGAGGGCAGAGCCACGCTCAGCTCCGTGCTGCCCAGTGCCAGCAGCAGGGGCAGGTGGCACAGACCGAGTCCACGGCTTCCTCTGGCCATCAGGGAGCCCTTCCACACCGGGAGGGGAGCGCTGGCCTGGGCTGCCCAGGGGGTGCTGGAGTCACTGTCCTTGGAGATTCCCAAAACCACCTGGGCAAGGTCCTGTGCAGCCAGCCCTGGGTGGCCCTCCTGGGGTTGGGGATGACTTCCTGATGTCTCTCCTGATCTCAGGTCCCACTTTTTAACTGTCTCTTGTGTACCTGGACAACAAGGAAGGGTTGTCCTTCTCCATGAAATATCACCTTGCAGGGATCGGTGTCCTTGTCTGACCAAGGCAGACACTCTGCAAAAAAGGGTCCTCCCAGTGTCACCCCAAAAGAAAAGGGTCCCACTGCCCCATCAAGCCTTGGTCCAGGAGAAGGGCCCCACAGCCCCTTGGGCATCACCCCACAGGGTGATTGTCATTGTCACTCTCATTGTCCACCCCAGCAATGCCACCCAGCACAGCCGAGAGCAGCCACCCTGGCTGGGCTGTGCTGTGCCAGGGAAGCTCTGCCCTTCCCGCTGCCTTTCAGGGATCCTCTCCTGATGGGGGGCACCCTGGGAGAACTTGGCAGGGTCCCGTGGCTGCCCCCAGCAGCAGCAGGCAGGGCTTGGCACCGGAACAGCTCAGGAGCCGGGCAGCGGTGACCCGGGGCTCAGCACTGTCACGAGTTTCACAGCCTCAGCCCGGCCCAGGCGGAGGGGACACACATCCCCCTGCTCACACAGCGCGGGGGGCGCAGTTTCGGGGCTGCTGTACCCCGGCACCGCCGGGAAAACGGAGCTGGAGCTGCCAGCGGGGGCTGCAGGCTCCTGGCGCTGCCGGATGCGGCCCCGCTGGCCAACGGCAGTAATGGAAGACATGTGTGTGGGCTTTGGGGAGAGGCTGCGCTGGGAAACAGGGCCCTGCAGAGACCGGGGGGCTGTATCCTGTCCAAAAGCCCAGGTCCCACATGAAGCCAGGCATGCGAACGCGATCCAAACCACAGCTGGATTTGAACCGAATCTCCCAGCATCTGGGCTAATTTGCTGCAACTTTGATTGATCGTGGGGAGGGGGCACAGGCGGGAAACGCTCCAGCTCAGACCTCCCAACAGAGCCAATGACTTAACCAGAGCTGGTTCCAATCTGCTCAGCACATTGAGGCGAAAATGCCCCTTTCTCTGCGCGCTGCCGGCCCCCGGCGCTGGCTCTCCCCGCGGCCCCGCAGCCCGGCCGTCCCCATCCCTCGGAGCCGGACACGGGCTGCAGCTCCCTGGGGACACCCGGCAGCTTTTGAGAGCTCTGGGTGCGGAACGCTGGCTCAGGCTGCTGTGTTAGGATCCCTCCAGAAGGCTGAGCAGGATAGGACGTGGAATACTCGTGTAGAAACCCCCCTCCACCTGCCCCAAACCCCTGCGGGCACCGATCCGCCCCTCTGCTCCTGGGAGAGGCCGGCAATGGGAGAGGAGGGTGGAAAAGGTGAGGGGTTTTTCCATTCCCTCCCTCGGCCGCTGCCCCCGAGGCTCGGCGTCACTCAGCAGGTAGCTGGGGCAGCCCGGGGTCCCGGCCGGCCCCGGGGGATGCAGCTGTCTGGGAGCCGCTCGCTGCCGTGATTTATGCAGCTCAGCCCCATAAATTACCGGGACGGAGCCCGCGGGAGCCATCGCTCACAGCGACGTCCAGAGCTCGCTGCCAGAACCTGAAACACTTCCAGCCGTTAATTGAAGAGGGGGGAGAAAAAAAAAAAAAGGGAGAGGGGGGAGAAATTAGTGCCCGGGGAGTTGGGATTAAACCGCGGCTCTAACGAGGGTCGCCCACGTCCCGCTCCCAGGATCCCGGCGCTTCCTGTGGGCAAGAGCCCAGCATGGGGAGCAAGGAGGGGAATTTGTGAGCCTGGGATGAGCCCACGGGCAGTGACACTCCGTCCCGGTCCCAGGGGTGACGTCTCCATGGTGAACTGGGACGCGCTGAATGTGAAGGGAATCTGAGGGTGAGTTCCAGGTGAGTGATGCTGAACTGTGAGGGCAAGGGCTGCCACCAGCCTGCATCCTCCCTGTCGGCACCCATCCCTTTTTGTCCCAAATTCAGGGCTGGCCAAACCCTCTCCCAGGCACCAGGGACCACACTGGCTCCCATCCACCAGGGGATCAGGGTTATGGGGTGAAGCCCCAAGAGCCCAAGTGGGAGGGATGGCACAGCTCGGGGTGCCCTGCTCAGGCCAGGGGGTGCCAGCGGGACACCCCAGGATTAGCAGCCGCCCTGGGGAAGCCCATCACGATGCTTTGCTGTACCAGGAGGTTGTGCAAGAGGCTGCGGCTGTGAGAAAGGAGAAGTGAAAGTGTGAAGCGAGAGGCGGCTCCCCCGGCGCCAAGGGGGGTACCCCATGCTGCACCCCAAGCCCAGCAGCTTTTTCAGCGAAGGCTGGAAGGATAAAGCCGGGGAAAACGTGGTTCTGCCTCCCCCTCCTCCTCCTCCTCATCCCAAACCAGCACAAGCCCCCAGCCCACCCCGAGCCACCGGCACCGCACATCTGGGCGCCAGCGCTGCGCGCCCCTCCCGCTCTCTGCTCTCCCCCCTCACCAGAAAATTACGCCCTTCTGCCTTCCCTCCCTGCTCCCCAGAACCCTTTCCCCCCTCATCTCCACTCATCGGACACGGCGTTCCACCCTCTGCACCCCAAAACGACACCACCCCCTGCAGCCTTCCAGCCCATGGGTGCCACCCCGCTCTGCGTACTAGCGTCCATCCCTCGGGAGGGGCGGCCAGCGAAACCCCTCCACTTTACGGTTCCCCAGCCCCGTCCGCCCCGTCGGGTCCCACCTGCGCGGGGAGGAGCCGCCGCCGGTACCGGGCGGGGTGGAGCGCACCGGGAGCCGCTAGATGGCGCCCTACGAGCGGTACCGACGGGGGGGACACATCGCCCTTCGCCCGGGGACACCCCGGGTCCCCCCCTCTCCGGGGCTCCCGGCCCTTCCCGGGCTGTCCCCGGGCAAGGAGCGATGTCCTAAGGACAGAGACCCCCGAGGGGGCCGTCGGGGCGCGGCAGGAGAAGACCGGGAGGAGGGAAAAGCCGGGCTGGGAGGAGGAGGAGGAGACCGGGATGGGGAGGGAGGGGTGTGTAAAGGGGGGGCCCGGCTTGTCGGTGCCCCGCCCGGGGATGGGAGGAGGAAAACCTCCCGCCGTCCCTTTAACAGCCAGCGGCGCTGCTCGGAGTTCAGGCCGGGGTCAGGGGGAGTTCGCAGCCCGGGTTTCACCTCCGAGCTGGCGGCGTCGGGAACCCCGAGGAACCGCTGCTGCTTCTTCCACAACCACCCCCTCCTCCTCTTCCTCCTCCTCCCGTTCCGTAGGACCGGCCGGGAGAGCGGGGTATGGAGGAAGAGAAGCAGCAGAGGAAGAGGAGGGTGGAGGGGAGCAGCAACCGGCGGCGGCCCCCCCGGGGCTGAGCCATGAGAGTTCACCGAGACCTCAGCTGGCTGGCGGAGGCCACCGGACGCCCAGGTAAAAGGAGGGGGGGAACACCCCGAAATACGGGGGAAATCAGCCGAAAAGCAGCTCCGCGGGCGCTTGGCTTCACGCACCTGGGCGGGGGGCACCGGCACCGGGACGGAGGCGGGGAGGGGAGGTCCCGCTCCCCCCCCACACCCCCGACCGTCCCCCCGCTCACCTCGAGGGGGGGAGAGGAAACGGGGGCGGGGGGCGCCCGGGGGGTCCGGCCGGCCGCCTCCCGGGACCGGGGCGCATAAGAAGCGGGGAGGAGCGGCGGGGAGCAGGACGGCGGCGGGGCGCGGGGATCGGCGGGCGAGTGGCGGGCACCGTGTCGGGGTGTCCCCCCCTGCCCTCCCCCGGCAGGTGGGCGCGGGGTCGCGGGATCCCACGGCTGGCGGGGCCGGGGCGCGGCACTGGCGGCGGCGGCGGGTGATGTCACTTTCTCCAAAACCCTCCGGGGGTTTTCGCCCCCCTCCCGCCCCCCCGAGCCGCCGAGAAACGAGCCCCCATATAAGCGGTGGCACCGGGCGGGCGGCCGCGCAGAGCGGCCGGGACTCAGCGGTGCGTGGGGCTGAGACCCGCCCCCCCCACGCCGCCCGCCCCACGCGTGGGTGAAGCCCCGGACGCGCACGTCGAGCCCCCCGCGCGTTGCGGTGGGCGTGCGGGGCCGGGCACGGCGCTGACGGGGCGGCCGGTGTGTTGCAGGGCGGCGGGCGAGGAGCGGGATGCTGGACGCCATGGAGGTGCCGAGCCACTCGCGGCAGCTGCTGCTGCAGCTGAACACGCAGCGCACCAAGGGCTTCCTGTGCGACGTGATCATCGTGGTGCAGAACGCGCTTTTCCGCGCGCACAAGAACATCCTGGCCGCCAGCAGCGCCTACCTCAAGTCGCTGGTGGTCCACGACAACCTGCTCAACCTGGACCATGAGATGGTGAGCCCCGGCATCTTCCGCCTCATCCTCGACTTCATCTACACCGGCCGCCTGGCCGAGTGCGAGCCGGGCAGCGAGCAGAGCCTGGGTGCTGTGCTGGCTGCCGCCAGCTACCTCCAGATCCCCGGCTTGGTGGCCCTTTGCAAGAAGAAGCTGAAGCGCAGCGGCAAGTACTGCCACCTGCGCGGGGGCTACGCGCCCTACAAGCTGGGCCGCGGGCTGCGGGCCGCCACGCCGGTCATCCAGGCTTGCTACTCGGGGACGCCACGGCCCGTGGACCTGCCGCCCGTGGAGCCGGCGGCGCCGCTCAACACCCAGTGCGGGGAGCTGTACGCCTCGGCCGCCCAGGGCGCCCCGCTGCACCCCCACGGGCTGTGCCCGCCCGAGCGCCACTGCTCGCCGCCCTGCGGCCTCGACCTCTCCAAGAAGAGCCCCACCGGCCCCTCTGCCCAGCTCCTGCCCACCGACCGCCTGCTGCCCAGCGAGCCCCGCGAGCCCTCGCTGCCCCCACGGCACGACAGCCCCCCCGTCAGTGCCGGCCTCCTGGGCAGCCACGCCGCTGCCTACAAGGACTCCCCGCCGGGCGGTGAGCCGGGGGGGCACCCCCACGCCCCCGACCCCTTCCGCAGCACGCCGCCCTGCGCAGAGCCCCCGCTGCCCCGCGCTGACGGGCGAGAGCTGATGTACCGCTGGATGAAGCACGAGCCCCTGGGCCCCTACCTGGACGAGGGGGAGGCGGAGAAGGAGCTGGAGAGGGAGGAGAAGGCCGAATCGCCGCCTGCGGCACCGCAGCCCCGCTACCCCAGCGTGGAGAGCAACGACCTGGAGCCTGACAACAGCACGAGCGAGGAGACGGGCAGCAGCGAGGGCCCCTCGCCCGGCGACGCGCTGGACCGCTACTGCAACCACCTGGGCTACGAGCCGGAGAGCCTGGGCGACAACCTGTACGTCTGCATCCCCTGTGGCAAGGGCTTCCCCAGCTCCGAGCAGCTCAACGCCCACGTGGAGGCCCACAACGAAGAGGAGCTCTATCACAAGGCGGCGGCCGAGCAGGCCGTGCCCTTCCTGGACAAAGGTGGCCCAGGGCTGGGTGACATCTTGCGGCCTTACCGCTGCTCCTCCTGCGACAAGTCCTACAAGGACCCGGCCACGCTGCGGCAGCACGAGAAGACGCACTGGCTGACGCGGCCCTACCCCTGCACCATCTGCGGCAAGAAGTTCACGCAGCGCGGCACCATGACCCGCCACATGCGCAGCCACCTCGGCCTGAAGCCCTTCGCCTGCGACGCCTGCGGGATGCGCTTCACCCGCCAGTACCGCCTGACCGAGCACATGCGCATCCACTCGGGCGAGAAGCCCTACGAGTGCCAGGTGTGCGGCGGGAAGTTCGCCCAGCAGCGCAACCTCATCAGCCACATGAAGATGCACGCGGCCGGCCCCGACGGCAAAGCCAAGCTGGACTTCCCCGACAGCGTCTACGCCATGGCCCGACTCACCGCCGACCAGCTGGGGCTCAAGCAGGAGAAGGCGGCCGAGCTGCTGTCCCACACCTCGCACTTCCTCAGCGACCCCAAGGCCATGGAGAGCCTCTACCCCCTGGCCAAGTTCACGGCTGAGCACCTGGGGCTGAGCCAGGACAAGGCGGCCGAGGTGCTGGCGCAGGCTCCACACCTCCACACCGAGGCCGCCCGGACCATAGAGCGATACTCGCCCCCCTAGCACCGGCCTGGCCGGGGGGCTGGGGGGGCCGCTGGGCTCCCCTCGCTGCCCCGTGTGGAGCTGGGGGGGGCGAGAGGTGATGGGTGCTCGTCCCCAGGCGCTGCCGACGGTCCCGGAGAACTCGCTCGTAGCGAAGGTCCCATGTGAGCTGCTCCGGGATGGATGGACGGCGTGTCCCTCGACCAGCGCCCCGGCTTGCCCGGGAGAAGCCGATAAATCAGGGACTGACCCCGCGGCACCTCCGCCCCTTTGCCGTGGGGGGTGCCGGGACCCCGGCACGGGGCGGCAGCGACGCACAAGCTGTGAGGCCGGGCTGCGCCCCGAGGCTTTGGAGGACATGAGCCCGCTCCTTACCTCAGGGCTGCCCCCGGGCGAGGGGACGCCCTCGGCGGCCGCCGCGTCGCTCCGGCCCCACGGTGGGACCCGCCGGCGCTCGGCTTTGCCGCGACGGGACCCGGACTGTGCCTCGGCCGTGAGTAGCTCGTCCGTCGGGGCCGGAGCGACGCCTCCGTGCTGAGCGGGAGCGGCCAGCGCTGGGCCGGGGCTGTGTGCCCGAGCACGCCGCGGGGGCTCGGGGACGGACTGACGGAGGGGACGGTGGGGTCCGAGCAGCAGGCGCGGGACGGGGCAGCGGCGGTCACCTCCGTGCTGGGGAGGCCGGGGAATCGCGATGCTCCTCGCCCCGAAGCAAGCACTGACCTCCCGTCCCGAGCGCAGGGGCTCAGCCGGCTGCTCCCCGTGTTTTTGGGAGGTGGGGCAGGGCCTGTCCCAGACTGAGCCCCTGGGCCCTGCCTCGCCATCAGGGATGCCCGGGGCACCCGGGCCAGCCCCGGGACCCGGCGGATTCGCCCTCGGGCGGCCACTGGCCTTGATTATTTTTTATTTTTTTATTTTTTGCCAAAGACGCCCGTCTCCAGCGCGGCCGGGCCGGGCCGGGGGGTCCGTGACAAAGACAAAGCGGTCTCTGGTTTGTCAGCTACGGGAGGTGGGCAGGGGCTGCGGGAGGGGGCCGTGGGGCAGAGCCCGGGGGGTGCATGTGACCTGGGGCCGAGTCCCCCCCGGGCACCTTCTGCCACCACCGCAGCCCCTCTCCCACCTTCTGCTCGGTGTGGGCCAAGTCCCCCCAGCCTGGACCCCCCCGGCCCGTGCCCTGACCCCTCCGTTGGGGCTAATGTGAAGCTTCTCCCCCCTCCTGAGCCCCCTCCTCTCCTTTGCACACGAGGCTCCGGGCGGCCGCCAGCAGCGACTGCCCCCGGCCTCGCAGCCACTGTGCCTTAGCCTGAGCTGGCCGCTCCTGCCCAGCTGCCCCCGAGCCTCCCGGGGCTGGCCCGGTCCCCCGGGGCCGGCAGTGTCCCCCGGAGCTGCCGTGGGGTGACTGGCGGCGGTGGCAGCACCCAAAGCACAGCTGGCAGCGCCCAGCGGGGCCCCGGCCCCCCCTGTATCACGTCCAATTTGTACACGGGCTTCTCGCCCTTTTTTTTTTTCTATAGTCGAAACGGAATGAGCAATAAAGTGACATTAACACGCGTGGCCTCGCGTTCTTCTCTGGGGAGGGGCCTGGCTGGTGCAGGGCTGAAGCTGAGCTCGGCTGGGAGTGACCCCGGGGGTCGCCTGTGGGTGCAGAGCTGCAGGGAGGGGACCCAAGGGGTTTTGTTGTGCATCTGCTCAGCCAGACCTGCTCAGCTGGGGGGCAGCAGCAGATGCAGGTGGGACATCCTGTTGTCATCCTTACAATGTGTCCCACTGCTGTCCCTCCCTGGTGTCCCCCACCCCAACCTCAGCAGCAACTCACGGGCTGACAACAAATGACACACCACGCTGCACTGACACGTTTAATACTAAAAATTATTAAAACCAACTTAACATCCCGAACGCGGGTGCTGCCCCAAGACAAGGGCTCCCAGCAGCCTGGCAGGGATGGCCCCAGGCGCTCAAGCTCTGCTCGCCGTTGTGCCACCTGGTCTGGTGGCACCAAAACTGTCCCATGGCCGAGCCTGTGACACATCTGGCAGAGCTGCAGGGCCCTCCAGGCTGGTGGTACCTTGGAAAGGGCTCGGAAAGCAGCGCTGGGGCAGCACCGTAAGAAAACAAACACTGAAACACACCCGGCATGGAGGAGAAGGCAAAGTCTCTGCAAAGCTGGCAGCCAGCACGGCTGCGGGCAAGGAATCGGGGCGTGGGTGCTGTGCCAATGGCTCCCTGTGCCCCACAGCAGCCGTGGGCACCCCAAAGTCTCGGTGCCCGGTGCCCCGGGCCGGGCACTGCTCTGGCACAGGTGACCCAGCACAAGCTGCGTGTCCATCGCGCTGCCGAGGCTCTGACCCTGCTGCTGGCCCTGCCCGAGGGGCTGGGGGGCTGCCACAGGGGTAACTGAGCTTCCTGATGCAGACTCTGGGTCTGAGCCACCCACACAGGAAAGGAAAACGCTGGGCTCTGTCCTGCTGCTTCCTCTGCCACCTCTGACACTTCCCTCCCACGGCTGTGGCGCCCCAGCGGGACCAGGGGTGGCCTTGGGGCTGCTCCCACCCTGGCTCATGGGACTGGGACTTGACAGAGCTCCAGGGGCTCTGGTTCAGGGGTTAATGCTCCCTCTTAGCTTCTGTATCTGGTGTGTCACTGGGGATGGGACACTTGGTGATGGGACAACGTGGAAGGCTCAGCAGCACCCCAAACCCAACTCCAAGTGCAAAATGACCCAGGGACGAGGCAATGGCTCCATCCATGGACCCTCTCAGCTAGCAAATAGTGGGGCTGAGCATTTCTGTGGATCTTTCTGACACTGCAGCCATAGGCAGAAGCCAGATCCCACATGGAAGAGGAGCCTGTGGCAATGTGAGGACACACAGTACCCATGGGACAGCCGGTCCTGGGGTCCCTGGAGAATTTTGTTAGCCTCACACTGAGTCTTAGGTCAAAAGCGTGCTTAAAGGTAGCAGGGTAGGACTGAGGGGTCCGGAGGAGAAGGGAAGGGGCAAGTAACAGCTGGGGTGGGCAGGGGACCAGGACAAAGCAGCTGTGGGGGTTTTCAAAGCCTCCCCCAGCAAAGCAGGCAGGGCACACACCTGAAAACTAACCTACACTGAAAAAATGAAACTCAACAAGCAAACCCTGCACCACGGAGAGGACAAACTCCTCTGCAAGCAGCGCTCCTGCATGGGGCAGCACACGGTGGGGAGGGGGATGGGGACCTGGGGCTGTCTGGCCATGCAGAACAAACAGGCTGGGGCAGGGGGAAACCTGCCCTTGAAATCCATGGCCTCTCCGAGGGGTACAGGCTGGACTAAACAACCCCAAAGTCTGTGCCGGCGTGTCCCCAATCTCTGCCCTACGCAGCCTACAAACCCAAAGAGCCACCGAGGCGTGACTCGAGCTCTCTGCACCCAAGCAAACCAAGCAAAAGGCTGGTGATCCAGCACAGGGCTCACCCAAAGCTTCCCTCGCCAGCGGGGCTCTCCAGCTCCGCGCTGGCACTGCCCAAAGGCCGGCGGGACCCTCAACGGCCCAGCCTCCACGTGAACCATCCACAGCAATGACCTTCCCAGCTGCTCTGCCCTCGGGGGGCCCTTCTCAGCACGGCCATTCCGGGGTGGGTTGAAGACGTGGCGTTTATTGTTCGTGGTGGGCTGGCGGCGGTGGCGGCGCGGCGAGGCGGCCGCTGGAGCCGGGCTCCCACCGTCAGGGGCTGCGTGACTCGCTCAGGGGCCCTGGGCCCCCCATGGCCTCCTCAGCCCTCCTGAGCCCACTTGAGGAAGGTGGGGATGTCCCGCACCGGCACGTTGCGGGTCAGCGCTTTGACTCGCAGGTTCCGGTCGTCCGTCAGCAAAACCACTTCCCTGAGCAAACGGATGGGATCGTCTGCAAGGAGACACACAGGGAGCGCAGTGAAGCTCAGACCTGCCCCAGGCCTTCCACCCATCCCACGGTGTGCTCCCCTACCCTCCCTGCTCCCGGCTCCCAGCTCCCCGCTCCTTGCCAAGCTTCCTGGTGGGCCTCGGACACAGCCCTGCGTCCCGAAGGCCATCTGCTCCCTTCTCTGTGCTGCCAGGGATGATTTGTGACCACTGCCCACTGCCCACAGGGGTGGTGGACTGGGACAGGCTGGGAAGAGGAGGTCCCTGCCTGACCCAGGCCAGGAAGACGGCCTGAGACCCTGGCTCCAGCAGGAAGCTGGTGCTATTATTCTGTTGATCTCATTACAAGATCTAAAGCCACCCCTTATTTTTTGTGGAGCTTTTTCGGAGTGGCCACTGACACCGAGGCGTTTCTGGCTGGGGCTCAGACAGACACTGAGAGCTGATGCCTGAGAAAGAACCGAAGGGATCTTGCCCCCAGATGGATGAGCTGCCCCGCACGCAACGCGCCGGGCTGGGATGTGGGAGCCACGCTTACGTGTGTGCGAGGCAGGGGAAGCATATGGGGTATGTGTAAGCAGCTGGGTCCTGTGACCAGAGTACTGTTCCTATGAGCACAGGAAACACAGTGCCTCCGAGCCAGGACGGGAATGGAAAAAACAGAGTTTATGGGAGCCCAACATGGGCCCAGATTGGCTGCGCAGGGAGCAGCAGGACGAGGGGAAGGGGAGGGTGGCCAGGAACGCGGGCTATGGTCACGGTGTTGGGGCTGGGTATGGCCTGTGCTGGAGGGAAGGGAACTGGGGGCTCAGTGGGAAGGCAGGCCAGGGATTGAGAGCTGCCTCAAGTGGGAGCGGGAGGTTTTGCGCGGACACTTTAAGAAATGTGTAACAATAAACATCCTCTGCCCCGCGCTGGTGACGCGCCTCCTTGTTACAAACCAGAGGCTGTCAGCTTGTCAGGCCCCATTCCCCATAATCCACATGATTTCAAAATTCAGCATCATTTGCACATAAACATTTGGTGACGGTTTCTCTGTGAATCTGACAAGTTAAGCTGCTAAGAATTCGTGCTGACAAATGCGGGTTGATTTCTTGGGCAGCTGCTGATGTGATTCCCATCCCTGCCGCCCTGGCAACAGCCTGGAGGCTGTCTGGTCCCAGAACACATGGCTGATGCCAACCAGGAATCCAGAGGAAAGAGTCCTGGACAGAAGGCATCAGGGGTCATGGGGAGGAGGCACTTTCTGGCCCTTTGTCGCCACAAAAAAATGGATCTGTGGATGTTTATGGTGT